CAACCCCCCCCCCCCCCCCCCCCACCTCTTTCCTCTCCCCAAGTGTCTACCTACTCCGTACTGTCATCTACGCGACTAGTAATAGTATAATGATTTTCTTATCGATCGGGCTCCCCGTAAGTACTATTATATATTCCGGTGATAGAAGATACACTTGCTTAGTGGAATAGGATCGCTCTTCCTAGGAAAAGGCGTATAGTCTAAGCGTGAGTATAATATTATTTTCTATAGCATTTCTGACTAGAGAATAGTTTCTCGCATCTTTCTTTAAGAACCTTTAAACACTAAGCGGACTTCACCCTTCGGATATTAGGCTATTACTTGAAAAGCTTAACGACCTTAGATATACGGGTTATATTATAGAAATGATACCCGGGCCTAGAGATATCGTTGAAAATTGGTCGCTATATTAGTATAAAGTCCTATATATATACCTACTACCAAAATTCTTTTAATAGAAACGTTTCTAGTCCCTAACCTTATAGGTATAGACTATAGTAAAGAGAAATATAAGTCTAGTGAACGGTATCGCTATAATTCTCTTAGATTAATAACGAAAGGCTAAACTAATATCCACTTATTTAATACTAGGACGTCTTAGGAATTATAAAAGCTCGCGACGCTACCTTCTAATACTAGATCGATATATAATATTATAATAGGTATACTTTATAAGTTAGTATAGAGGGCTATATAAACTAAGACCTATATAGATAGATCTCTATCGAACGAAGGGGGACACCTATTATCCACGACTACTCTTTCTACTATTATCTCGAACACCTTCCTTAAATTATCCTTTAATAATTTGCTATAAACTAGTATTAAAGGTAAAATGTATAAAATATAAGGCGTCGGTATAGTTACTAATATAGACTTTAAATCTAGCACTACCTATTACGAGGAGATATTAGTGAACTAGCTAGAAACTTTTATATATAGAGAAAACCTTTTTAAAATTAATAGTATCTCTTTACCGAAAGAGTAGCTAATATTACTACCCTATACCCCGCCGGTTATAGATCGCTATTTATAAGAATAAGATAATTGTTTCTACCTAAATATACTATAGCCTTAAATGACTAAGCTAAATATTAAGAAACGGAGATTAACTAAGCTACGCCCCCGAGCTAGAGGTGTTAACGAAGCTATTAGCACACTTTTAGCGAAATGTCGCTTTACGCCTAGAAGTATCTCTCTAAGTAATCCTTAGCTTAGAGAGGTTTAAGCCACCGCGGAATAGGTAGTCTTTACGGATTATAAAAGATTGTTATAGGCCCTTTTACTAAAGTGGTAAGAAAATATATCCCTTAGTCGCTATACTCTTACCCTTCCTAAATTGACTAACGAGGTTAAAACGGGGGCACGTTACTTTAAGTGTCTATTATTAGACGACTTTTTAGATCGTAAACTTAAGCTACGTATAGCGTAAGTCTCCTTTTATATTATCTATTTAGAGTTATATCGTAAGCTTAGTACGAAAGAAGTAATAGCTACGCGGAAATTATAATATTAGCGTGTTCGGGCCTCTATAATTACTCGGGATTAGATACTCTAGTCCTTACGGGGTGAATTATTAAGAATAATTAGCTAAAAGACACTAAAATATAGGCGCTAGAAAATAAGCGATATTCTTCGGTAGGGGAGTAGATAGTAGAAGCTTACTTCTAGCCTAGGAATAGGGTTCTTACTTCTATATAGTGATAAGGTCGCTATTAAAGTGTAAGCTTGTCCCTTAGTGGTATCGATAATAATATATCCTAATCTTTTTTAGACGGGATAAAGATTTCTTAATAGTATAAATAGACGTATTAATCACCTATATATCCTTCGTATGCCTAGAAAGTATCTCTCTTTTTCGATCACTAGAAACACTAACTAAGGACTTAATATTCGGGACACTATTAGTTGCCCTTATACGAACAATTTATAGTAGTAATATCGATACTTTAAGTGAAGAAGTTATACTCCGGAGGAGATAGAATAATAAGAATATATTATATAGTTAGAGTATATTAGCTATCTAGTAGGTAGTCGATATAAAGTTAGTTATAGCACGCGAGGTAGAACTACTTTTCTCTTTACCTATCGAGACTAGTTATCCTTAAGGGACTAGATAGATTTATCACGATCTATATACTATTATATATCTAAAATTATATTCCTCCTTATATAGCTTTCTTATTAAACTCCTAGTATCCTTCTTTACTTCTTCTTTAAGAGATACTATACTACCCTTTCTAGTTATATTATACGATCTAGCATTTATCCCCTAAAGCGGACTTTATATTTCTCGCTAGGGGTTCCGTATATAATATAGGCTTTATTCACTAGTTCTATCCTATAGTATATATAAATAAAATATATAGGTAGAATAAAGGGCGAACTATATAAGGCTAACGAGCTCGCCTTTATAAAAGCGAGTACTACTTATAAGGGAGTGCTATATAGGAAAATTAATAGGCTATAAATAACAAATCTAGAAGGGGTTCTAATATTATATACCTTTATTAGTAAATTAATTAAATTAGTAGATATTATACTCGAAAGAAAGTTAATAGCGATAGAATTCGAGGGCTAGCGGTCTAGGTTATTAACTCTAACTA